AGTTTGTCTGCTGTTGAGAACAACCATTTATGAATTTGCTCTAATGACGGTTCAAATTAGTAGGCCCTGTTTCCGTAAAAGAAGCTTCTAAGATGGAAATATTTGGATGGGTATTTTATGAATAGGCCTTTTTTATGAATGTACTTTGTTAAAAGAAATACAATTAAAAAAACATGTATTGGGCTATCAGTTGTTTTTGAAACACAGCATTCCAGGAACACAAAAGAAAGATGCGTTTACTGCAGGAACCTGTGGTTATCTTCACCTATTCCAAGGGGAAGCTCCCATTCAATGAATTTGAAAACTCCTGGTATACAGAATAGCAACAAAAAAAAGGATATATGAACAAAATGTATGTACAACACAATGTATGTATGTACAATATAAATGTCTACACTGAAGATGGGATCCTAATATGACTACAGATAACACAAGCACAAAAACAGGAATGTGACTTGGTCACTGTTGGAGACTCAATGGAAGTGTATAAACTGCGCTAATTCAATTTGTCCAATAAAAAGACTTCTATGCTCTTCAGAAAGCAAGCTACATCAATATTATTGTATTGATTCATCGAGCTTCTAAATGTTCCCTACAACAGAGGTTTGACCTGCAGTGAGCCTGGGGGCTTCATGTACTACCTGAGTTTTCAGACTTCAGGTCTCCCAGCAGTTTCTCACTGACCACGAGCCTGCTCTCCAACTCTGAAGAAGAAAAAACAAAAGTTAGAAAGGAGCTCCTCTGGGAATGCTGCTGGATCCTGCAGTTTCAGACTGAAATCTTCAGAGTGAGCTTGAGACCTTCATTGTGTTACCAGGGTTTAATCTGGGTATCATAGTGAAATGTTCATGCTTAACAATGTGCTATCTTTCCACCATTTACATTAACCGATGAACTAGAAGATATAAACTTTAACTTACTGTCTGAGTGATAGATAAACTTACTGACTGCTGTACTGAGTTTAGATTGTCCTGGGAGCTCATGTCAAACAAAAACATTAATAACAAGGCAGACGTTCAAGTGGTACCTGAGTTTTCTGTCTTTAGGTCTTCCAGTAGTTTCTCCTTCTCTCCCAGTCTGACCTCCATGGCTGAAATAGAGATAAGCATATTCATCCAATGCTTTCACCATTGTGAAAGCATTGGTTAAGTGTTGGTGATGGTGTTTGTGATGGTACCTGCAGTGTCAGTCCCCAGCTGTTCCAGCTGTGTTTCAGTGGATCTCAGTCTGACCTCCATATCTGCTGAACAAGCTTGATTTAACGAATTATCCATTTACTGAGCTGAATTAAGTTCCTTAGCTAGAAATCTATCTTAACCTGTATGATGAGGAAAATATCAATACTACTTTCCTGATATCACAGTTTGTGCATTCTTGAGATAAAGGTATCAAAATATTTCACTCCGTCTTTCAAAGGAGTTTGACATGATGATGTGTGGAGAAGGGAAGGGATCAGTGTAGCCCAAAGACCCCTAATGATGAGTGCCATATATGGAAGCAGACGCAAGTCACCGAGGGCAAACTCTGGAGAGCCCACCCTGGAGATGGGGCATGCCTCACACAAACCGAACGAAAATTCAAATATTAGTTCCGAAACCAAATTAATGAAGGAATAAAACAATGGAAAGTCTATTACCATCGAGTGAACAACTCTGGAGACTTTTAAAAACATAGAATAGAAATAAAAACAAATAGTCACAACGGAGGTAGTTGCAGCTGCAGACCAAAGGCACCAATAGGGATTAAGATAGATTTACCAATCCAAGAGGTTCACATTCAATCCTCACTGTTTGTGAGCGACAAAGTCTGATGAGATCCGCCTTTAGTCTCACAAAGACAAAGAACTGAGCGAAATTTGATAGGCTCTGCATTTTTGTGTTCCCAAAACTTCGTGACATTTCTCTGAATTTTGCGCAATCTACCAAACCAAGGAAAGCAAGCTCAACAAAATGATCGAACCTAGCCTTCATTCGATCATTGATGTTGTCCAGAATGAAACAGATAACTTGTCTCCTTTCATCCTTACGATCTGACCCCATCCATGCACTTTGTGACTGCATCAGCACCAGGTTGATCTTGTGTGTGCAGCAGTGTGTAAAAATGGCCTCGGTCACCTTCTGTTTAATTTTAGCCTCCACCCCATTTTGCTCTGATGCCATCACGGTATGTAGATTGTCTGATCTACAAGCTGGTCAACACAGTTTTATTTCTCCAACATTCCCAAAACATAATCTGCAATAGTAGAAGCCTGTCAGTCCATGCTCATGTCATTGAAGTCCAAAAATGCCTCCTTCACCTAGCAGCCTACTTCAGATTAGTCAGTAAATGAAAAATTAGTTCCCAAAGCATTACGTGAATACAACAAATTTATTGCTTGGAAATTTCATTTAGGCAACTGGATGTGAAGTTTTCTAGAAGAAATTTCGCCTCTCATCCAAGAGGCTTCATCAGTTCTAACTGCTGGTGGGGAGCACTGAGATAAATATACTGTAGGTGGAACTAAATGATTAGGGGAGAAAAACAAAAAACGAAAGGTGGCTTTGATCCCTCCTATTGGATGGGCCACAGGTCACCTGGGAGTGTTAACGGTTGTTGGGGAGTTCGGATGGGTTGCTAACTCCCTCGTCAGAGTGGTTTCGGTCACTTGTCTCTTTGAAGGGTGAGTCAGGTGGGGGAAGGAGAGAGGCAAATCTTCTGGGGATTGTCCTAAAAGTGCTCTTTAAGTAGGTGACAGGTTGTGTCTAAGATACCTCCTCCGTTGAGTGATGTTTTTTCCAGGTTAACAAAGATGGCCTCTTAAATCCCTCTCTCAAACCATCTGTCTTCCTGGGCCAAAATGTGGACTTTTTGTCCTAAAAAAAACTGGCAACTCTGGTCAACCTTCCAATATCTCGGGGGTGGAAGTGGTACACCACCAATACTGTTGATAGTTGGGATGGTGTGCTGTTGACCTCAACTCAGGACTTTATGGGTTAGTGGGGAAGTTTGAAGACCTCGTCAATCTCACCAGGACGTCTCTTACTGAGAAAGTGGAACCTGAGGACCTTAGGTCGGGCTCTCCAATCTCTAGTACTGAGGTCACCAAAGTTATTAAAAGGTCTCTGGGGCAGGGCTCCAGGAGTGGTTGAGATTAACTTGGAGGTCCTCCCCTTGAAAAAGGGGGACTTTAGATTTTTTCCGGGAATACGGGGTACTTTTATGGACAGAATTACAAAGCGCGAACAAGGTGTCCTTTATATCTCTGCTTTTTGCTGATGCTGTTGTCTTATTGGTTTCATCAAGGCATAATTGACATTCACTAGAGCAGTTTGCAGCCAAATGTGAAGTTGAATGGCCGGTATAAGGATCAGTGCCTTAATCCAAGGCCATGCTCTTGAACCGTAAAAGGGTAGAGTACCTACTCTGGGTTGGGGGGTAGTTACTGCCCCAAGTGGATGAGGTAAAGTCTCTTGGGGTCTTGTTCATAAATGGGGGAATAGAATGGAGAGGGAGATCAACGGGAGGATTAATGCTGCATTGGTAGTGTAACAGTCTGTCGGTGGTGAAAAGATCGCTGAGTCTGAAAGAGAAGCTCTCGATTTACCCGTCGATTTATGTTCCCACCCTCATCTGTGGACATGAGCTTTGGGTCACGATTGAAAGAATGAGATTGCAGATACTAGCGACCAAAGTGGGTTTCCTCTGCAGTGTGTCTGGGCTCTTTCTCAGAGATATGGTGATATGCTCGGTAGTATGGGACGGGCTCAGTGTAGAAGCCAGTTGAAGTTGTTCGGGCATCTGATTGGGAGCCCCCCTGGATGCCTTCCTGGTGAGGTATTCCCACCTAGAGGAAGACCCAGAACACTATGGAGGGACATTGTTCCTCGGCTGCCTCGGGAATGCCTTACGACTCCCCTTGAGGAACTGGCAGAAGAGGCTTGGGAAAGGGAAGTATAGAACTCCCTGTTTAAGTTGCTGCCCCCACTATATGACCTTGCATAAGCGGAAGAAAATGGATGCATGAATGGAGTTCAGGAAATGGTTCCTCTGAAAAGCCAACTGAATCCTGCTCCGTTTTAAGAGGTTTTAAACCACCTTTATGATATATAAGGCAGTGAGAACCATGTGTGCTGAGCTCATTTCCATGTTGATATCACCAGTCGCCCAGTACACATGTTGCTGATCCCATATCCATATTCCCTAAAAGAGATTCCCTTAAAACAGAGGTTTGACCTGCAGTGAGCCTGGATGCTTCACTTAGTACCTGAGTTTTCAGACTTCAGGTCTCCCAGCTGTTTCTCACTGACCACGAGCCTGCTCTCCAACTCTGAAGAAGAAAAAAACTAAAATTAGGAAGGAGCTCCTCTGGGAATGGTGCTGGATCCTGCAGTTTCAGACTGAAATCTTCAGTGTGAGTTTTAGACCTTCACTGTGTTTCCAGGGTTTAATCTGGGTATCATTGTGAAATGTTCATGCTTGACATCGTGCTATCTTTCCACCATTTACATTCACTGATGAACTAGGAGATATAAGCTTTAACTTAATGTCTGAGTTATAGATGAACTTACTGACTGCTGTACTGAGTTTAGATTTTCCTGGGAGCTCAAGTCAAATAAAAACATTAATAATGAGGCAGACGTTCAAGTGGTACCTGAGTTTTCTGTCTTTAGGTCTTCCAGTAGTTTCTCCTTCTCTCCCAGTCTGAGCTCCATGGCTGAAATGGAAATAATTCATATTCATTCAATGCTTTCACCATTAAAAGGAACCTGAATTGTTTATGATGGTACCTGCAGTGTCAGTCCCCAGCTGTTCCAGCTGTGTTTCAGTGGATCTCAATCTGACCTCCATATCTGCTGAACAAACTTGCTTTAATTAATTATGGATTTATTGAGCTGAATTAAGTTTCCTCAGCTAAAATCTATCTTAACCTGCACAATGAGGAAAATCTCAATAATACTTTCCTGATATAAAAGTTTGTGCATTTTTTAGGTAAAGACTGAAATATTTCACATTGTTAAAGAAAAGTAGAAAAGTTAGAAAGGAGCTCCTCTTGGAATGCTCCAGGTTTAACATTGATCCTTTATATCAGCTCATAAACATGGATGTTAAGATGAAAACGATCATTTACAATGTTGAGATACCTGCAGTGCTGTTGAGTTTGTCAGTCAGTCTGGACTCCATCGAGGAAAGATGAGCTGAAAGCACACCATAAAGACTTTTGGCACGCATCGCTCACCATTAGGTTATTTGCTACTGTACTAATTCAGTTACCTGTTGTTTCCATCTGCACCTCAAGCAGCTGATGTCCAGCAGCACTCAGTCTGTCCTGAAGTTGATTCACCACATCAGTCTGAGCTGAAAACAGTAACATGTCAGCCATAAATAATTCTTAATATCTACTGATTGGACATGTCATTCTGATCTCAACTTTTGTACTATGACTATCGGAGGCAGTGCTGAAATTCATGAGTAGGATTTTCACATAAGTGTGTCTCTGTTCCTGGTAAATGAGGCCAGTGTGTTATCATGACTGTGTGGACTGTTAATGGTCCAGGTCAGTGGGTTGAGCTGCCTTGATGTAGGGAAGACTAAGCCTTTTGAAGAACTTGCCGATGATGAATCTACAGTAGGTGATGGCCAACCATACTATTCATTGTTTCTTTTGGGCAGTGGTGGGAAGTAACGAAGTACAAGTACTTCGTTACTGTACTTAAGTACAATTTTCGTGTATCTGTACTTTACTTAAGTAGATTTAACAATGGATACTTTCTACTTATACTCCACTACATTTAACAGTAAGTATCTGTACTTTCTACTTCACTACATTTCTATACAGCGTTTCGTTACTCGTTACATCCGAGACGCATTTCGTTTTTTTGATTTGTTCGTTAGTTTGAAAGTATCCAATGGCGAGAGCAGAATCAGTCCGCTGAACCAATCCAAAGCGGGAAATAACCATTAGGCCCTCCCTCAAGAAGAGCAGCACAGTACCAGGACCTGCATAAAATATCTAAATCTAAACTGTCACAGGGGGTAAACACAATAAAAACATGCTTTATCTGCAGCATTGCTCATTAAAATGGTACATTACTGATTTATTAAAACTAAATACGATAGGTAGTAGGTACACTTAATGACATTATATAAGCCGTTAGGTACTATGGTTGGCAAGTACTTTTACTTTTAATACTTAAGTAGTTTTAAAAGCTTGTACTTTCTTACTTTTACTTAAGTAAAATAATAATGTGGTACTTTGACTTTTACTTGAGTACATTTTTGTCTGTGTATTTGTACTTTTACTTAAGTACATTGTATGAGTACTTTCTCCACCACTGCTTTTGGGTAAAGGAATAATGGCGGCCGACCTGCATCAGG